ATATTAACGAAGTTGGCAGAACGTTCCTTTAAAAACATTCCCCTACATTTCCAGTTCCTCAAGACATCTTAACAAGGATGTAATTTCCCATTTGCTCTCAGTGAGCAAATCAAACAGGGTGATTTATTATTCAGATGGGCACAAAGGATTTCTGAAATGCAAAAAGAAGGGCTCTAAAAGCACAAGTCATCAGTAATGACGACAGCCTGAACTGCCTTTCAAATATGAACAAAATGCAGCCATTTAGGGGCTCATACATCACGCTCTCCCAGACCCTCATTTATTTCCCAACTGTACAGGCTGCATGAAAATGGACCCAGAATTTGGCATCTACTGAGAACATCTTTATCAGGGATGTGGTTCCACACCATGGGAGAGCAGCTCAGACTCCCCACCCCGGGAAGAACCACCAAGGCTTCCCAATCACCACTTCAGTTCCCTTCCCAAAAACATCTGTGTGCTGAAAAGAAACTTTTCTGAACTATAAACACAGTGAAAATATGACAAAACTCCCACTCCTATCCCAAGAAAATGCAGATTTTCTTGATAAACATCTCCAGCAATTTGGGCTCCTGATGAGACAGCATTCAACTGGAACCCAGAATCTCAGCTTTAGCTGGTGAGACCTGCTGTTACATTTTTTCTTCCAATGATCTGTACAATGGGAAATTGAGAGAGAGAACTAAATCCTGCTCATTCTTATCCCAACGAAGCACAGAAATAACCATCAGAGCTAATGAGGTTACTCAGCATTTTTCTTCTCTGAGCAGAAAACCCACAAAGAGCAGTTCCCTCAATCAGCTGTTTAATATTTCAGCTGTGCACAGGTATTATGGGTATTAGACACATATTCTTAAATCCACTTTATCTTCAAAATGTTCCTTTAAGTAAAGAGATGTGGAATTAGCACTTTATGTATAAAGAACTGACATCAGCAGAGGCTCAAATGAATTTTCCAAGCTCATGGAAAAGACTTGTTATGGAGCACGACACCCCAGCAAATCTCCCAAATTTCTGCCAAACATGACTCCAAGAGACCTTTTCCTCTGCATCACAGCCAAGCAGAAAATATCCTGCCCCAAAGCAAGGAGCACCTCCCAGGATTGGACTGTTTGAAATTCCAGCCAAGTTTGCTTCACCTCAGCTGGAGCAGAGGAGCATATTCAACATCCCTCCATTTCTGTTCCAATGGCAGGCTGGAGGAAATAAATACATTAATTACCAATTTAGCCCAGAAAGCCAGGCAGTTATCATCTAAAGGCATGGAAATAATCACCTAATTAATGGGAATGAAGGTTCAGCAATGTGAATATTCTTGGTTTTAGCAAAGACTGAGTGACAGCACTGGTCCCAAGTGACTACAGAAAGAAAAGGCACAACTTTGTCCACAGCTCTGCTTCAAACCAAGTGCACCTCACCCTTCTTTCATCTCCAACACAGGTGGGAAGTTCTGCCATAAATCAGCCTGGTCCTAAGGAATTCACATCCCTGGGAACCCAGCTCAGGCATGTAGTGTTGGGAATTAAATTATGCCTCCTAATATAATTTACTTAACATAGATCTGGCAATCCCACTGGTGCTGGTTTATCATCCTCCCTCCCCACTGGTGGTCAGCAAACACCTGGCAGGTAACTCAAGCTCTGGCTGCCACTTGCTTTTCCCTGAGCTGCATCCAAGCTTTCCTGCACAAGAACTTCACAGACTGTTCCAGAAAATCACATTTTAGTGTTCCACTCTCAGACCTGCGTGTTCTAGAGGAGCATAATCCCACAAAGCAGCTGCTCTGCAAAAAAATCCCGCCAGGCACAGCATTTCCTGGGGCAGTCCTTGAGCGAAACCTGAGTGAGGGGAGGACAGGCCAGGCTGAGCCTCCCACAGTCACCCAGATGTGTCCTCAGAAACTGAATGTAAGGAAAAAAGCCAGGTAAAACCTGAAGTTTGTAACACCAGGCTGTGATGGATATTTCTGAACACACACACAGGAGCCTCCCTGAATTTATGGTGCAATTAGCAGTGAGGGAAAAGGGCCCCTCACTGTACTTCTCCACAGAGAATGCCACTAAAAATCCATCTCACTGCCCTCCAACCCCTGCTTTTCCCACTGCCCCCAGAATCCCAAGGCAGGACTTCCACCTGCACGTGTCACTGCAGCCCCAAGCAGGGCTCACTCCTCCCTGAGTGGAGAAAAAGCCAATCTGGGAGGGTAGGACACTAGAGAAATACATTTATAACCTAAAACAACTATAATTAATTGTCTCTTTTCTCTTTGCACCCTCTCAGGCTGAAGCCCAACCCCTCTCTCCCCTCTCAAGCATCTCTTCAACACTACATTTCACTCTGCAACAGTCATGCTTAGCATTTTGAAAGGCTAAAATATTGACAAATGGGTGATGAAGCATTTCCAATTTCCCAGTGTATTTACTTCTATGTGCTGTTACAGTAACATGAAGCATGATAATCACAAAACACTTCATTTTTCACAAACCCTGATTTAAAAAATCCCTGTATACACCAACGGTGTCAGCAGTTACACATGAATCTGGTCCACATCCGAAAGTGCTTTTTAATTCCCTAAAAACCTCCACAAGATGCTGTACAGTTTATAAGTGGGGCATATGCATAATGCTGTGCAAGACTAATCAGCCTTGAGACAACAGCTTCTAAATATCATTATGGAGAAGACAAGAATGATGTTTAACTGCTGCTTCTGTCAGACAGATTCTCCTTTCAAGTCACTCAGGATATCAAGTTATAGTATTTCCTTCCAGTAATCATGGGCTGGATAAACTCACATTTTCAGCTTGTGAAAAAGCAGCGGCATCTCCTAGCACTGATCTCTTGGCTCTGAGGAAGTAGCCTGTGTTATTTCAGACGTGCTCACCCTACCATGTAATTTTACCCACGTCTGTATCCAGGCTGCAGCCAAAAACCACATTTATTTTCGTAGAGAGAAATCCACAGAGGACCTGGAATACAGCAAGTCAGCACTGCTGGAAAGAAAAACAAAAAGGAAAAAAAAAATAACAGCATGGTGGCCGCTGTTGCATCAATAAGCAGGTCGATATTGAAGTTCTTTGGAAACAAAAAAAAATCTGATAAAATACCATGAGAGATGCTGAGTGTGATCCAAGGTGTGTGACAGTCCCTACCCGGGGCAGAGCCGCGGGTGCTGAGGAGGGCACAGCCCTGGCACCCTCGCTCAGGGATAAGGAGCAGAGGGAAGGAAGGGGCAGCGGCAGCACCTGCACAGGTGCAGGCAGAGCGGCGGAGCTGCCCTCTGCTGACTGCCTGCGTTCCGAGCGCTGCTCCGATCGCTCCTGCACAGCCCCACCGCGATGCCGGGCTGGCCGGGGCTCCCTCCCCACGGATGTCACACACCGGGTGCCACCCGGACCCTGCCCAGCCCCATTCCCGGCTGGCGGCACCGCGGAGCCCCGGCAGCTGCGGCAGCACCGACCGGCAGCGCCGCGCTGCAAGGGCTGCTCAGCTCAAACCCCAAACACACCCAGCGCTGGAGCCAGGGCTGCTCAGCTCAAACCCCAAACACACCCAGCGCTGGAGCCAGGGCTGCTCAGCTCAAACCCCAAACACACCCAGCGCTGGAGCCAGGGCTGCTCAGCTAAACCTCCAAACACACCCAGCGCTGGGGCCAGGGCTGCTCAGCTCAAACTGCAAACACACCCAGCGCTGGAGCCAGGGCTGCTCAGCTCAAACCCCAAACACACCCAGCGCTGGGGCCAGGGCTGCTCAGCTCAAACCCCAAACACACCCAGCGCTGGAGCCGGGGCTGCTCAGCTCAAACCCCAAACACACCCAGCGCTGGAGCCAGGGCTGCTCAGCTCAAACCCCAAACACACCCAGCGCTGGAGCCAGGGCTGCTGCTGCTGCTGCACCGTGTCCGTGCGTGGCCGGACTCACCCAGCGCCCAGCTCGCCTGGCCCTGCCTGCCGTGCTGTGGGGTCGTACTGGAACACTTTGGGCTGGTCCAGCCCCTCTCATCTGCCAGTTCAAATCAGGGGGCGCTTCAGTAACCCCCTAAATCAATAACCCTCATGGTGAAGGCAGTGCTGTGACAGAGAACTCCGAGGCCCACACCTGCTGGCACCCGGGCTAGTAGACTTCCCTGATGGAAAGTATTTACTGAGCAGCAAAACTCCTGGGAACCTCCGAATGAAGCACAGACCCAACGCTTCCCAACTCCCAATTCTCATGCCTCTCATGGCATTTTCTGTCTAGCACTCAGGTAAAATACACACGACCTATTTAACTTCCAACTTTTTACTTTTTTAAAGTGAAAAACATCATTGCTAAACCCTCTGTAAAATGAGAGAAAAGGAGGAAAGATGTGATTCAAGTTTTACGCAGATGATCACGTTTATCAATCTCCTCTGCCAACCTGCTTCACTCCGAACTCGCGTCCATTTTATACAAGGTTTAAAAGCAAATGGGAGCAGCTACTCCTTTAGCACCTAAACACTTTCCCTCGCAGTAAAAGGCAGCCGTGTAGCTTTAACCCAGCGCTTCGCTGAAATTCCCAATGGATCAGCATCACCCACTCTGCGGCTGCTCCATCGCTCCCGTAGCGCGACTGGAAGCCCGGGCTGCGCGGGGACGGTGTGCACGGCTCTGTTAATACTGAACCCCGCGCAGGGGAACCAGAGCGATAAAGACAGAATAAAACGAGCTGCTCAGCGAGCCTGGAGCGCCAGCTCCGCGCTTCTCCCCGCCTTGTGCGCGGCGCCGAGCACCGCCGCTCCACCGCTCCATCCCACCTCCCCCGCCCGCCCCCGCCGCCAGCCCGGCCCCCGGCTCCTCCTCCCCGCTCCCGCCCGGCTGGGGGACGCCCGCCGGTCCCGCTCAACAAGTTCCCCTCGGCGGGGACCCGGCCGAGGGGACCCCCCGACAGCGAGCCCCCGCCGCAGCCCATGAGGGCAGCGGGGGAGCGCGGCGGCGGCGGCGGTGGCTGCGGCTCCTCCGGCGGCTCGGCGGCTCCGCGGCAGATGCGCCCCGGCGCCCAGGCTCTGACGGCCAGCTCGCCCCGGCGGCTGGAGGGAGATGCTCGCCCAGACCGCCGCTTCTGCGTGAGGAAGCACAAGGTAAGGCGCTCGCCCCGAGCCCCCGAAATCGCCCGTCCGCCGCTTCTGCCGGCGGAAAACTTCGTAGGGATGAGGAGAAAGGCTGGAGCTGAGCGCCAGCGTTATGCAATAGCGTATGTGCCTGCCTGCGAACAGCTCCTGCATCCAATAACTTTCGTGACAGATAAGGAGAGAATATCCCGATACGCGACTTTCTTCTAGAAAAATACCAGCGTTTCTTTGCCTGCTCCCCTTCCAGAGGTGCCTGGGAGGGGAGAGGGGTAGCTGGAGGATTTTTGGAGGATGCACGAAGTGCTTTGGCTTTTCACATGGCTGATGGCGAGGAACTACCGCTGCTTATTAACTTCAGCCGTCCTAATGAAGTGTCCGTACAGCGGCGATGGAGGAACACGGGATGTGTTCATCGCTGAACTTGCAGTACGGCACTTCATTAAAAGCCCAACCAACCCAAAAATCCTCCTCGGGGGCTGAAGCTGCCGCTATTCAGTGAAGTGTGCAGGGCTCTCCCGATTTAACACACCCGAGTCCCCATCACCATCACCGACCACACAGAAATCGGGGATGCCGTGGAAACGCCGTAGGAAAACGGGACAAAGGTAGCAGGGAGCCATCCCCAAAGTCACAGTCCTTGCATCGTGCAAGGCATCCCGAGCTCTGCAATTGCACCGTGCCTCCCTCGCTGCTGAAGCCCTGTGCCGTGACCTGGGCGCTGTTCATGCCATGTTTACGGGAGTTACGGTGCCAGGGGATGCGGGACTGCAGTTCCATGGGATCTGCCCGGGGAGGCGGGGGGATGGCCGGCCCCGGCTGAACAGGGACAGCTGGCACTGCTGCGAGCGGGGAATTTATTCCCTGCTTATGTCACCGTCTCTCGAGGGCTCTGTCCCAAGGGAGCTGTGCCCCCCTCGCAGCCGCCAGTCGGAATAGGGAATGGAGCGCTTCGCTTTGACCTTGTGTGTCTAAGCAGCTTAAAATCCTGCACGGAGGAGAATTTAACTCATTAGGCTCTAAGACCAGGAAATCTGGGAAGACCTGTTTTTCCCAGCCTCGGAGAATCATTTCTTTTTCCCCCAGCTGAATGCTGGCAAGTGCTAAGGGAAGGCAAACCAGTCTGATATAAACTGGGAATTTATTCCCTCCTCTTAAGTGCTGGATCGTGCTTGGATTTACCGGGCTGCCAGGAATGCTGCATGTATCAAGGTTAAAATCTGGCTTCTGGATGGAAAAACTCCTAGCTAAAAATAATTAAATAAATAAATAAAAATAATCACATGATATGCAACTATGTCCTAGCCATGGACTGGGATTAATTTAATGTCAAATTCCAAGGCAACAGACCAATAGTAAAAGTAGGAAATCAGGGAGAGGAGTGGATCTCCTCACTCTTGGTGTGATGCCTCTTGGTGTTCCACCAGCCTGCTCCTGCCTGGCTGTCTGGACTACAACGATCTGTTCCCTCTGAGTACAAATAACAGTTCTAAGTTAAAAGCTGGGTTCTTCTCCTAGCATTAAAAATTCATATTTAGATGAAAATATCTCAGGGCTCAGGTATTACTAATTTATCACCTGGAGGGTGATATTCTGTTATACAGTGGTGGCATAGGGTCCCTGATTCCAGGAGAAATCCATAATGTAGATTGCTAATCCAGACTCAAGACTGAATTGTTCTAATTCCAGCAGTTCTAAAACAAAATTCCTGCCCCAGAGTTTAAGGTGCTGTTGTATTGAAAGCATCCTCCCTTCACGTGACAGGGAAAGCTGATACTAAATCAGCTTTTTTTAGGGCTTTTTTGTAAGGATGTCATGATGCCCTTGATGAAAAATGTTTGTTCTTTAGGACTCCGTCATTATTAACGATGTGTGTTTTAACGAGATGCTCGAGATAATTCTAATCCTGGATGGAATCAGAGCTTCTCCATGGGACTGACACATAAAAATCCAGCTGGGTAGGAGCACCACAAGAGAAAGTGTTCAGTTCCTTATCAAGAGGGCCAGCACTTAGCATTCAATGCACCCTTGCATTAACTGAGCTCACAAACGAGGAGCTCGCTGCCTGTTCCCCCCGTTAACCACTGCACTGACAGAGCATTTCTGCACGAGGGGCACACACTGCATGTTCTATACTCGAATCTAGATGTAATTAACTCAGCAAGAGGAGTGGTAAGCTCAGTGCAGAGGAGCACAGGGAAGGAGACCGTGGTGAAGGAGCCCAGGAGCGCCCAAGTGCCGAGTCACGGAGCGTGCGTCACCTCCCAGAGCAGCACCCGGCACCCCTGGCCACTGCCTGGGGACCCAAACACCCAAACTCAGCCAGGACTGTGCACAAGGCAAGGAAATACCAACACTAATGTTTGCTTCTGCAGGATTTAAAAGCCAGCTTAGCCATGCCATTCCTTTGCCGTGACTGATGGGGAAACCAGTCAGGGAAACCTGTGAGCTTGCCAAAAATCCCTGCTAAAATCTAAGGATACCTCCACAGAGCTCTTGAGCTGTGATGTCTCAAGGCCATTCCTTATCCAAGCACAGGATAGGGAGAACTAGGGATGTATAGTCCCATAATTCATGCCCACTTGAAGAAATGACAGCAAATCTAGAATATCTGAGCCCATAAAAAATTCACGTGATTATCTGAACTAGCTATTAATAAAAAACTCTTATATTCTACTTTATGACAGGCACAGTTTAAAGAACTGCTCAAAATTTATCTGAGATACTAAAAAACATGTAAGCAACAAATCTATTTTATAGCCCAGTATACTCCCTTGTATTTTTACTAATCAGTTTGCAAATTAAATAGGCTTTCTGAAAGTGAAATCATGAGCATATTTTAAGGAAAAAATTAATCTCAGTGTGGTAAATTCAGTGGGAGCTCCACATTCAGCCTCCTGAAAACTGGTGCTTGCTTAGAAAATCCTGAATAACCTCTGAACACACACAGGTACGACTCCCTGGGTATTGACACTCGATTTTAAATTGTTATTGACCACACAGAAATGTGCTCAGAGCATTCTGTTGTTGTAGTGGCACATCCCCATCTGAGGCTGTTTACTCCAGTTTTACTAGGTTCAGGCAGAAAAGTGATCCCCTAATACTCCTGGAACAGTTCACCCTGTTCATGCTTTTGCTCCGTGTCAGGGTGATCAGTGCCTGCAAACTGCTTCCCACTAAGACATCCCAGCACAAGTCTCCCTGGCAAAGAGAACTGCATGTAAAAATAACAATTCAGTGATCAAACAGCAACATTTGGTGTCCTCTTTGCGTTCTTCTCCCCCTTTAGCGGCACAAGACACCAAGCATGATTTTACTCCAGTTTTTCCAGCTAAATCCACTGGGTTAGATACAGAGCAGCACAGAGGAGTAAGGGCCATTTTCAAAGTCTGAATTAAACAGAGATGGACTAAAAAGACTGAAGACCTTCAAGTCTTGCTATGTTTAGGTGCAGATCCCAACTTCTAAATCATTACAACAGATTTCTGTCCTGGAAGGGAAGTGCTGGAGCTCTACCGTATCCCTCTCCCCAGAATTGCTCATTTCTAGTCTCAGACTCAGCCCATATCAAAAACAGTTGTTAAACATCTCAGAAACCCCAGCTTTAACTCATGTTTGTGCCATCCATGGGCAGGAGAAGCAGGTTGCTGCTGTTATTTTTGCCTGCCCATGATTGCTGGAGCAAGCCTATAAATAAAGCCCACGTAGTTACCGAATTAAACCAGTTTAAAAACAAAAGCAGAGGAAGCTCTTTCCATCTGCTCTGAGCGAGCAGGAATTGTCACAAGCTCACAAAAAACAACAAGGAGTTACTTGTTTGTGCTCTTGCCCACCTTCCCTGCTTGTTTTACAGCTGCCCTTCTCTCCTCTTCCATTTTTTTCTCCCAATTCTCATGTCAAGGCTGTTATTGCATTGCTTGGAACAATTTTGGTGAGGTCAAAGCTTATAAAGCCCAACCATGGTGTAAATGATATTTTAACAGCTGGAACAGGGGCTCTCTGATGCCCAAGACAAACCCATTTAAGCAGGTGTGTGACTTCAGGACTGTATTTTAAAAGTTCATAACACAAGTAGTTCTGGTCTGGTTGGTTGCTTCTTGGGAGAAGGAAGAAGAGGGAATTCCGTAAAATCCTTAATTTTGGTGTATTTATCTATAAATAAGCACAAAATCTACAACAGGCCTGAAGTCTCCTTCCAACCATTAGTAATTGGTTGTTCATACCCATTTTGTTATTATATTCATTATTCTCTCCTGCAAATAAGAGAGCAGAATGAATGAGGAGACATCCAGTACAGAAATTTAACTTGTGGATCAGTCGAATACATTTCTGTGTATCAAGGCCATCGGCAAATAAAACACAGCCATATCTCTACGGAGCTGACAAAGAGACAGATAAAACATCCCACTGCTGGAGAGAGTAATTCAGCAGAAATTATGCCTGAACTGCCTGCTCACAGTGATAACACTGATCCCTTCTGGAGACTGAGCCTAAACTGCTGAATTCCAGAGCAATCCGTGTGGTTTTGTTGAGCAGGCTGGTGAGAAGAATGTGGTACATTCCTGCATTCACAATTTGTAACAAAAGCACACAAAGCCACAAGAAAAGTGATGCAAATTATCTGTCTGGTGGCCAGCTGTGGTGCCTTCCCCAGCCAAAAAATATCCTTGAGAGGGTCTTATAATTATTACTTTAATAATCTTCCTAATCATCCCTGTCACAAACAGCCCATCCTAAAATCCAGAATCACAGAGTGGTTTGGGTTGGAAGGGCATTAAGGATTATCTCGTTCCAGCCCCCTGCCATGAGCAAAGACACCAGCTTTATTTAAAAATCCTATTCCACATTATCCCACTTCCACAACACCTGGGAGCAACGTACTCTGCAATTCCACACTGTATTTGCTTCCCTCTTCATTCCCCACGTAGTTCTTCCCACATGGCACCAAAGCTGTGTCCCCTGGAATGAGCAATTTCCATCAGCCCTGTCCCAGAGTCCTCCTGTTTGATGAG